GCAGAATCCCACAGGTGCTGCCTCTTGGACAAGTCCTGTTCCATTATTCCTACCGTGCAAGGAACTTGCTTTCATTTCCCACTATCACGCCTAGACCTGAGGAGAGGGATGGCAGCATTTTGCTAATAAGCTTGGAGAAGAATGACAGGAAATGTCCCTTCAGACCCTTCCTTATGCTGTCTGCTGGATACTGTGATTGATGTAAACATCCCTGGAAATTAGAGTGAGAGGTACAGCACCAGTTTCAGGACAAGACAAAAGAAGTGAATAATGGGAACCACAGCTCCTGTTTGTCCTGGAAAGAACTCCCATTCACTGGCAGATAGGAAAGCCAAAAAAATCTCTCTGTCAAAGAGGTGATTATTGAAACATTTGTGGGGTTAGCACACCGCCGTGAACAGACCATTTAACTAAATAGCTCTTCCTCCTGAAGAGAGGCACTATCCTAGTTTTCTCCAAGCACAGACAGTTCCGTGGTAACTGCAATAATGAAACAATCCAGCATCGAGAACCAGATGGCAGTCGTGTATTCTGCTGCTTCTTATTTACGTTTGACTCAAGAAAGCGTGACAAAAAACAAAAGATGAACAACAGATGAGCAGGTCTGCACCAAAACTGCACAATTCTGGTCACTCTAACCTTAATGCCATTCTCACTGCTTGCTGAAAATCTTGACCAGTGACCTTGGATCAGAAGGAATGGCATATTTATGGAGTGCTATGGGACTAACTAGTCTGAAGTATGCAAATGATAGCAGGAAGCACATAAAGTTCATCTAGCCTCAAGGAGCGTTTCTCCTGCTCACTGATTCTGAAGTGAAAGAACCTTGTGAACCAGGAATCTCTGTGGCTCTTACCAGCCAAGGAGAGGATTTCCCTGCAGCTTCATTAAGCTTTTCTGTCTGAATACCCTAACAGTTCATAAGGACAGCAATACTAAGGACATGAAAGGACACTTCAACTTCATTACAGTGAATTGTTGAAGTCCCACAGATTTCAATAGGGCTGGAACTTCCTCTACAGATTCTCAGGCCAGAAAAACGCCTTTTTGGTACTGTTAGCAAACGATTGTATGATACTGCTGACTAAATCGCTGGCAGTGGAATTTTACTTAAAAGATTCACTGTCAGTACTGATTTGGCGAGATGAAAGGAGACCTCTAATGACTCTTACAGCTACAGAGGGATATAACCAGCAAAATCCAAGTGCAGAAAATATGTTTCTCAAAACTCATGTATGGAGAAAAAACAACCAAAGGTTGGGTGAGTGTATGAGCATGCAAGCATGTGGCTGTGAAACCAGGCGTCCTTTGGCCTCAGTAAACCATCGCAATGATTCAATTTTCAGACACATCCACAGAAGCTAGATGTGAAAGGATGTCTAAAAGAACAGCAAACAAGCAGACCTTAAAGAGAAAGCCCAGTGGCATGTCAGAAGCTGTGCCTCCTGCTGACGCAGGCTGATCTTGAGAAGGTGCAGTCTGGATTTCTTCAGTTGGTTCCCGCTCTCTTACAACTTGGCAAGTTTCACTGTCAGTGCCCTGAGTGCCCATCTCTGCTGCAGCATCTTTAGACTCGTTCATGATCACATCATGTTCTTCTCCCACCCCTTCGTTGTTCGATGCTGGCTCCATTACTACTGAAGGGATGCTGCTGACCTTTCCCTAGGAAAAGAAATAAAATACAACAAAAGCACCACAAGAGTATTTCCTACTTTATTTCAAGTTGAAAAACATGTTTCTTTACTTCTGCTGCAGGATTCTTACCTCAAGACAGAGATCAATAATTGTGCAGAAAAGTAAGAGTTCTAAGAGCTTAGAGGAACACAAGGTGAAAAGCAGAAGTGACCTGGACCTCTTTCAGGGCTGTCCCAGTGTCCGGTGTGAAATCCATCACACGCCAGAGCACCTTCAGGACTGAAGGAGGTTGTTGCCAAGAGCCATGGGACACATTCCTTTTGAACAGAGATGTGCAACTTGGGCTATGCTAGCTGAAGGAAATATATTCTACAGCTAGATAACTGCTAGAAATATTCAGATGTCATCAGGTATCAGAAAATGTTAGCCTATAGCTAGGCCGATTTTAAAGAAGAAAGAAATGTAAATAAAGACCCAAACAGATTGGATATGACTGAATCATTTGTCATTAGTCTGTGTTGAAAAGTCAGCATGCATTTTATTTCAGTTATTGAAAGGTGGATAGAGAAGTACCTTCCTGAAGGCCATTGCTAAATCCTTCCTCCAGCAGAGGTAATTTATGTATCACCCCAACATTTGTGTTGGTACATACTGGTATTTGTTTACAGTTATACACTTGAATTAAGTTTATTGTAGATTTGCCTTGATGGTGAAGGTAAATAAAAAAAAAAAAACACATTCTGTCAATTCAATTAACTTCAGGAAGTTTTTAAACACTAAAGAAAAGCTATTTTCTAGGTACCAGCATCAAGCTAAGTTCAGCAGAAATTCAGTTCACAGCCTGATGCTCTGTTTCCTCAGTTTGATTTTCCACCCATGAATGAGACTAATGCAGCTCTCTGAGCTCAACTTGAACTGCCTGAAGAATGATTGTGAACAAATGCAGTCACTGTTTTTCAGCTCTATCTACCCCTAGTGGCTGACATCAACTGATGTGGTAAATAAATTCTTCTGCAGCCCTTGAAAGCAGGAAATACTCCAGTGTTTTACAGAAACCACTGGAGAAGTTTTAGCTTGAACTGAAAATTCTGCTAGGGAAGGATGCTCTGCCACAAACAGAAGTATTATCAAAAGATATGCACAAGTGTTGACATCTTCTCCTGTCACTTGTAAGGCATGCAAACCTGTCTCACAGAGTATTACCAATTTAGCAGTCTTGACCCAGGCTAGTACTCAAATAAATGGTGGATATAAAAGCCTTGGAAGAGACCAGTATGAAAGGAGGGGAACAGAATGCCTATCAGATTGATTTCATCACATGTGTTTCTAACAGCATGCTGCACACACTGATCTTGCTGCCTGTTGTGATTAGGATCAACATTTATTTTCTATTTACTGCATTTGTATAGCCGATTTTCTTTTACGGTGGAGGAGAATTTTAATTTACATGAGTCAGCTCACAGTCAGCACTGAAAGGGTGATGCTCTCAACAGCTGTAGCTGTAACTCACTGAAGGCACAGCAGACTCACATATGCAGAACTGGGTATTTTCCGTGCCTTAGAATACAGAACCAAAGCAAGATAATTAAAAAATGGCTTTTACAAAAGCATGTGTGCTAGTGCTGAATGAATCTCATTATTAGTATCAAATGCCTTTGATAAAGAAAAAAAAACAAAACTAAACTAAAAAGAGGGAGACTCAATTCCACTGAAATCAGAACAAGAATCCCACACCTAGCAGCAATGGGCCACGTACTTGCAGGTATTTCCCGTCTTCTTTTGAGAACCAACTCTACAAACCTGTTTTCCATACCAATACACAGACTAAGAGTATCCTAAACCAGCTATCTGCAGAAGTGCTACTGAAATCTGCACAGCACACAGGAGAAAAAACAAGGGCCATCCAATGTAATGAAGGCTGTGATAACAGAGCCACGTGGCTTTGAGTTGCAGTAACAGTGAATGCTTCTTTACCCAGGCTGCAGCTGGCTGCATCATCCTCTAATAGAACTGTCAGCTCAGTGCAGTGCCCAGATTCAGCAGCAGCAAGAATGAGGCCATGAAGAGGAGGAGAGCAGCCGAGTCTGCAGCTGGGGGTCTGGGAGGAGCTCACTGAGCTCTCCCCATTTTCCAGAGCTGAAGATCTTGCTCCACAGCTTGATTTAGAAAAGGACTGGGTAATTTTTAGGACAGTTAGTCATGATTACAGCTCAGCCATCTAATATAAGATCAAGAACTAATTATCATGCTTTAGTGAGCACACCAACTGCTTGCAAAGTCTTGGAAGGCTTTTGGAGTAATACTGAAGAACTGGTTATGAAAGTTGCCTCAGAAGGACAGTCCTCCACTGGAGCCAGGATATCAGCTTAGCAAACAGCCTGATCCCTGACAGCATCTCTTCTGCATTCAGTAATACTGCTCCTCTAAGCAGGTTAAACTGACCAGATAGAAGTTACTTTACAAGAGCACCTAGTTTGGAACAGAGGAAAGATGCATTTCAAAGGCTTAGCCTTTGTGCTCAGGGCAGAGCAAGGCATTTCTTGGCCCAGACTTGGCAGTGATCAGACAATGCTAGAGAAGCAGTGCAACTCACATTTGCAGCGCATCAGCACCTGTAGCTATAGAAACTGGGTTTGATCTACCTCTCCCATCCCATAAATTCTTTTTAGTGTAATTCTCCTGGCTTCTACACAGCAGGCTGGTGAGGAATACGGCACCAGTGAGGCAGGGCTACGGGTCACAGGAAGAAAGCAGCCCATGGTAGTGGGACCTCATCCTGGCTCAGCCATGCTGCCCAGCAGGGACAGCTGCTGGCTGCACATCTGGCTTCCCTGCAATATAGGGCACCCTGGGTAGCCACAGAGCATGGACGCACCCCAGATTGCAGAAGGGCTGATGCCTGTTCACATCAGTATAACAAACCCAACCTTGGACAGCTGAGCCTACCATGAAACCAAAACAAGTAGGAAACAGTTTACAATCTGCTTGTGTATGTTGTGGCACTAAGGCAAATAACAATCAAACAGTTCATCAGCTCCTTGAGATACAGATTCTAAGCAATTACCAATGAGGAGTAATAATTTCTCATGCCCTACCTCTCTTCCTGCATTTAATAGGTAGCTCTTCTTCCTCTGCTGCTCTCCACGCACGCTCGAAAACATTACAGTTTCAATTCTGTACAAAAGGATTGACAGTGTCTTGCTTTATAAAGACAAATACAACCACACCACCCTTAGATTTCAACGTGCCCACCCAAAGAGAAATTAAGTATGTCACAGAGTTTTTCAGTTGCTTTGTAATTTACCTAATTCAATGCCAGATTCCTATTCTGGAAAACAAACTTGTGGCATGATTATTTTCAGCTGTGCAAGGAAAAACAAATGAATCAAAATTCCTTTTCCTTTTTAAAGATGTTTAGAGGAAGGCTAGACAAACAAATTCAAGGGAAATGTAAAAGCTACTGTGAATCTATGCAGCATATTCTCTCTTTACCACAAATGTCAATAGAAACAGCATTATGCCACTTTCTGTTCATGGATCTGTATGTTTTCTGTCCCAAAATATTTATCAGTCTGTACTGCTGCAACAGGCAGTTTCTAAGTAAGTCTTGCATTGAATGAGAAATGTCCTGGTACCACAGCTGGGTCACAGTCACACTGTATTGTCTGCACATTGATTACATGCAGATGACATATACATATTTTTGCCACGCTCCTCTTGAAGATATTAAAGCACAACCAAATTCCTGAGGCTGCTCATACGTACCTCACTCTCTTCCTCAGCAATTCCAGTTGTCTCCTTATCCCCTGTCCTGATACTCTCCTGTATAAAGAGGAAATATGGTCATCATCTTACTCATGCTGAGGGAATGACTGCAGAGAAACTGGCATTAATCAAGCTCAGTGGAAGAATGGCAGGTATGGGATGCGATGAAATGAATGGTGGGAACTAAATGGGACAGCATACAGGGAGTGGAAAGATTCTCGCTGCTATATATCTGAAATAAAAGTAGCTATAAGATAAAAACAGAACAAAAACAGCAAAAAACCAAGAGAAATAAAGCCTGTTAATTACATAATGATAACCACACTGGAAGTGCTAGTGTCAATTTTATGTACTTTTGCTATCAGTATTCTCACAATAGCACCATCCTGGATGAATGTTTTTATTAAGCAACAGCCCAGAACATTGCTGACCTTACAGTTTTCCAGCTACCTCAAATTTCTCCCACCCAAGACTCAGAATGTTCCCATCATAACCTGCTGCTGCTCCTGTAACTCATCAGTTACTTACTCCTGTAACTCACCAGGAAAACTTTCTGGAACACTTCTTCCACACACGTTGGGCTGAAACACACGTAAGGGGATTGTTCAAAGAGGTGGGTCACAAAGCTCATCAGTTTGTGCAGAATCACTTTCCTCCAGGTCCACACTCAGCTGTACATGCAGTGGGTGCCTGACATTTAAAACAGCAGACATTGTCAGTGGCTCTAAATCTGGCACCCATGAAGATGCCCAAGGGATCAATTGCTCTGAACAGTGATGCTCTCCACCCCAAACAATACTTCTTACAGCACAGATGGGATCTATCACAAGGTCCTTTCCTACAGAAGCTGTAAAACTGCACGAGTTCCAGGTTTTGGAAGAGGAAAAAACGTACAATTTCCTAAACTCTGCGGGACAGTTGTGCTCCTGCTGGTTTCCAATTCTACTGTAGCATTTTGGGATTCAGTCAGCAACATCCCTTCTGCTTGAGCTTGGATTCAGTTTTGGCTATTGCTCAGCATGGATCAAGAGGTTCAGGTACAGTTTAGGTCAACAAACAGTCAAGATGGCTGTAGTTCATGTCTCGTTTGGAAGACTTGGAAGTGCTTTTCTCTTCTGCTCAGCCTTGGCCTCCTGCAGATTGCAGGATATTTCTAAAGATGCTTTTCAGAGGAAAAGTAAATCTAAGCCCCCTTATAGAAATCTCTTTCACTAATAAATGTTAAGGCTGCTTTGCTAACATACATATGTCAGATTTTTCAAAAGCCCTGGAAGAATGAAGACAAGTCATGCAGATCTGTGTGAGTGCAGGTAGAGCAGATCGCCATCTTCAGCACTTGTGATCAGACCTCAGTGCTCAGCCTCCAGCTCACTGCCTCCACACACCTGCCACACCAAAATTCCTGCACATTTCATCTTGCAGGATGCTTGCATGTTATTTTAATAAAAGGATGCTGAGTTAATCCAAACTTCACTTCACTCGTGTTTTCTAAGCTCATCTTCCTGCAGTCACCTCATAAGACCCAGACCTGTCCAGATGCCAGGGCAAGGCAGCTGCTGACAGCAGCGTTACCATGCAAACCCCTCACAGCTTTATCCTGCTAAAACTGCAGTGTGACATCACCTCTTCTTTTATACATACAGGATTAATTCTTCTTTCAAGCTGCCAAACCATGCTGGGAAGACCTGATTTCTACATTGTTTTTAAAACAGACTGTAGAGGGTTTTAAAAAGAAAAAAATCCCACAAGCTTCAACTGCAAAATATAATTATTTCTTACTCCAGCAAAGCATGCATGTTGCTCTTTTTTTTTTTTTTTTAAACGAGAGGTAAACAAGTATTTCTATTGCCTCATAAAAGCCATGCGTCTAATGGCAATGGCAAGTTAGTACAGAAACACTTTTCTGACTTGTACTATTAAAAAGTGCTGAATTTCTTAATTAGCTGTATTTAGAAGTCAATTTGCCTTCAGAAATGAGCACTGCTCTATGTCAGGAATGTGTTTGTCCCTACCCTTCTCCTATCAGTAACCTGCGAACTCCTTCCCATAAGAATTCCATCAACCAAGCTTACAGCTTGGGCCTCATTCAAAATTTGATGCATTCATCCATATACTTTTAAATGAGGGCTTCATTTCAAGCATAACTGGAAGCAGATTTTTTGGGAAAGAGAAAGGTAAGGAGAGTTGCCCTTACTTCTTAAGGACTATTTTGTACTGGTAAAGTTAGCAGCACTGATCTTTTGATTAGTTAGGAGTTGGGATGGTAAGGATGACTGAGTTTTAGCAGGGAAGCACGGCAGTGCAATGTTTATTTTTATGCCATGCTAGGCGTAAACGTCTAGTAAATAGGATTACTGAAACAGTGCCTAAGTAATGCTGCAGTTCCATAAACAGAGTGCAATCTGCCTCTGCTGACTTAGAACAGAAGAACACTGTTCCACATCAGTTCTCCCCCATTTTTGAAAGAAATATTTTACCTTTAAATGGCCTCATACTCCAGTGCTGTACCTGTACTTGGCTCCACGCTCGGCTTTCGGACACAGCTGACCACTCTTCTTTGCACTGCTCTCCCAGATCATACAGTCTGCAGATTGGATGCCACGAGTTGTACCTATGGTGGGATTCAGCCATCATTAGACATCTCTAAGCTGAAGGCTCTTTCTTGGCCTCTGTCACTGTTCAGTGTCTGAGAGAGCTTCCAGCTGGCAGCTTCATATGTGCCCACACAAAGCTTTGAAAATCACTGCGTTTAGCTGAGTGCCTGACTGACTGAATGAGAGACTATTAAAGTCCAGGCAAGCATCAGACCCAAAGCACAAAAAGGCTCTTTCCAAACCAAGGAGCATCTGGAAGTCAAAATAGCTGATCTCTGAGTAATGCTGTGAACTCTGGGTACAGCATTTCACAGATAGGAGAACAAAATAACAAGACTTGCTATGATTTCTCTTTGTTCTGTACACTTGTCATCTTTGCCTGACTTTGAAAAATTGATGTGGTGAGAGGGATATTATTATTTGAAACTGAAATCAATCAGTGGTTAATAAACTATATCTTTTAGACTGCATCCTTTGGATTTTACATACTACGGGAAGAAGAAACAAAACAGTTTCTGTGGGCAAAAGTCCACGCAAGAAGGACTTCTTACCATTCGCTTCAGCTCTTCTGCAGCACGTGGTGATTCTGTCCCTTTCACTGTGAAAAATTTTGTTCCCTGCGACCAAAATAAGAATCAATGGTTGCCAGCACCTAACAGAAATTTATTTGTTCTGTGGCACCAATGGATCACAACAAGGACATGTAGTAAGATCCCATGCAGTAATTAAGATGAGCTCTTGGATTGCAGAAACAAATAAAGCTCATTTCATGTAGAAATGCATAAATAGAGTCACTGAACAGGTGTGAAAGCTGTGAGGAAGCCATGCTTCACAGGCTTTTGAGATTGTTAGAAAAATCCAAAAAAGAGAGCAAGAAAAATACTAATCCAGTTCTTTCACATGGAAAACAAGAAGACAGTCCTGCTAAGCTAGTGGGAGTTTTCCAATTAAATTCAGCTAGGCCAAGAGCGCCAAGAATACAAGCAGCCTTCTAGCAACATCCAGGAAGACTTTCTGAGGCAGACAAGTTCAGGATTCGTGCCAGCAGGACATTATTGTGCAGCTGGTCTGCAGAGCACAGTTTTCAAAACTGTGCAGCCAGTCTTAATCTCTTCCGTTTGCGCCGCCCCGTCCTTACCCGGCGGTGGGCACGGGAACGGGGTGGGTTATCGGAGCTGCAGAAACGACCGCGGGCAGAAGCGCCGAGAAACGAACGGGAAATGTTTAATCGACGAACGCACAGAGCGACAAACAGAGAGACGACCGCGTTCCCAACCGGCTCCCGTCCGAACGGCGACTGCGGAGGATGGCTCGGTGCTGACGAGGGACGGACGGACCTCCGCGCCGCCTTCTCCTGAGAGCCCGGTGTCCCAAAGGCACGGGGTGGGCGGCGGCGGCGGGGACGCGGGGCAGCGGAGCGCCACTTTCCCCGCACGGAGCCCAACGGCTCCACCAGCAGCAGTGCCATCGCGGCGGCCCCGCGGCCGCCATTGGCGGAGAGCCCACGCTCGGCCCCGCCGCCTCCGCGCCGCCATTGCTCGGGGTCCTTTCGTTCCGCGGTCGCGCTGTCATTGCGTCATCACCGCGCGCGTCCCGGATGGCCCCTGCCGGGCTGCCCGCAGCGATGCCTGTCGCCGCGCTCCCGCTCCACTTCCGGGGCTCCGGGGCGGCCGGACCCCGGGAGGAGGAGGGCGGGTACGCGGGGGACCGCGGCGAGGCCGAGCCCGCGCCGCCCTGTTCCATGAGGGCCTTCTTGGAGAGCGGCGAGCACGGGCCGCATCCGTGCCGCCAGGAAAGCGCTGAGGAATGCAGCCTTGTCTCCTCTTGTACCAGGCACTCATGCTCACGTATTGGTTCAGGCTGTGACTTGGGAATCCCACTACAAGTCACAGTAACTCAGCAATTGCGGCGGGCGATGTGATAATAGCTTCCTGGAAACAGTCGTGATATTCCCTCCTATTCTACTTGTAATATCAGGATAATCTACGCCTGACCTGGTACAAGACCTTTCTTGCATTTTCTTCCATCTCTTTCCCTGTGGTCCAACAGCCAATGAGTTTCTGTACAAGAAGAGAAACTCTTCTCAAAAAACAGGACAGTTCTTCTCCTGGATGCATAGCCTGGGGATGGTTTAAGGTCAGAACGCTGAGGGGAGGCAGCCATTTCTCTGCTTCTCTTTATCCCTTCTCTACAAGTCACCCAGCTGCAGTGTCTTGCTCCCAGCTCCTCCCAAAAACCCCTTCTATTCCCACCAGAGATCTAAAGGAGAGCACGTTGGAAGGAAAAAGTCTCCTCTCTGGCTTCCCACTTAGCTACACCTTTCACATGCTGCAAAATCGTGGGCTTTGCTCTGCTCTGTGTGTCACTGGAAGAGAGCACCGCATTGGAAAATGAGGATCTCGGGGTCCCAGGGCTCTGAGGAACGTGGCCACCACATCTGTCAGAGCCAAGGGGTCTTGGGAGAGTCCCCATCGTCCCTCTTCAAGGAGATGGCACCGAGTCGCTCCTATTACGAGAGCAGGTTCTAGTCTATGTTCACCTGACAGCAAGATTCATACACAAAGGGTAGATGTCAGCTCGTCCAGTTTATTACGAGTGCTGGTCATTGGGGGAGATGGGCAATAGAAAAGATCAGAGGATGCAGACCTTGGGATACAGTCAGAAAGGATAGTAGAATCAGATGGGGCGTCATGGAGTTACGGGTCACATGGGATTAGGTGGTGGGGGTGAGGCGGCTGCACGTGACCCACAGCCCTGTGTGAGCCATACTCCCACATGCCCCTGTGATTCCCTGACCCTGCCTGCTCCCATCACACTGCGACCTGCTGCCGTGTGGCCCCAGAACTCTGGGATCCCTGCCCCCACCTCACCCTCCCCACCAGGGCCTGCAACTGGCCAGCCCACCACCAGGGCCTGCAAAGGCGGCAAGCCCACCACCACGGTCTGCAAAGGCTGCAAGCCCACCACCACGGTCTGCAAAGGCTGCAAGCCCACCACCACGGTCTGCAAAGGCTGCAAGCCCACCACCACGGTCTGCCAAGGCTGAATCAACAGACGTCGTTGATCAGGAAAATAAAACGTCTAAATGAATATACAATTCCAACTGATCCACTGGAAGTCCTTCCTGTCGTAACCCAGAAAACAAAAAAAGTACAGGACAGACCGGCAGGGGTGCCCCCTGCTCAGACTCATTGACATGTAACGGCCTGGCCATACACGGCAACAGAATTGATGGACTTAGTACAGGGCTGCAAAGCCCCCCACCAGCCGCAGCTGCAAAGCCCGGGCTGCAAAGCCCAGGCAACAAAATGCAACAAACGTCTTGTACCAGGACTGCTGTAGATTATCCTGATATTACAAGTAGAATAGGAGGGAATATCACAACTGTTTCCAAGAAGCTATTATCACATCACCCACCCCAATTGCTCATTACTGTGACTTGTAGTGGACTTTCCAAGTCACAGTCTGAACCAATACATGAGCACGAGTGCCTGGTGCAGGAAGGAGACGAGGCTGCATTCCTCAGCTCCCCCCCTCCACATCCCTCCCTGCACTCTGTTTTGCCTCTGTTCGTTCTGCACCCCCTTGCCTGGTTCACAAGTAAGTGAGATGCCCTTCTGAAATGACTCTAAAGAAACGCGTTCCACATCACTCATCTTCCTCAGTGCCCCCCTGTATAATCAATGACTAGTAAGATGCTATAATGAAGAGAGAAACAAGAGAGTTTGACAAAGCAGAGTATGATAACAAAAAGAGAACAAATAGAAGGCTTACCCCTACCCAGGGCTCACTCACACAACTCCAGCAGGACCAATCTCCAGAAGAGCTCCTTCCCTACTGGCAGCCAGCTCTTAAATACGTCCAGGAGGGCAGCACAGCTGAATTGCCTTCACTGCGCTCCTCTGGCTGACTCATGGCTCGCCTCAGGTGATCAATCAGAGGTTCAGGCTGTGACTTAGCAGTTCCCATATGAACACCTAAACATTTCCTGAACACCTCCGGGGAATCTGACTGCAGTCCCTCCCTGGGCAGTCTGTCCAGTGCCCAACCACTCTTTTGGAGGAGTTTTTCCTAATGTCCAGCCTGAAAGAACTCTTGTTGCTCTCAAGGTTCTTTCATTTCTTCACAAAGCTGTTTCAAAATCTTCATCTGTGAACCTAATGAGATTCAGCAAGGTCAAGTGTAGGGTGTTGCACCTGGGTCAGGGCAACCCCAGATATCTGTGCAGGCTGGGAGAAGAACTCATGGAGGGCGGCCCTGCTGAGAAGGACTTTGGTGTCCTGGCAGACAAAAAACTTCACCTGAGCCAGCAGTGAGAGCTGGGCTTGTTCAGTCTGGAGAAGAGAATGCTCTGGGGAAACCTGATGTGGCCTTCCAGTAATTAAATGGGAACTTATAAGCAGGAGGGAAGGGTGGTGCTATAAAGACTATAAACTATAAAGACTAGAATGTCTTGAACCTCAACAAAATAATTTCAAAAGTCAGATGGACTCCGCTATAGAAGCTTGTTACGTGAGAGCAAATCTGACTGCAGGAAAATCAAAACCCTTTCGTGGTGACTTTGGTAAGTAACGTGCAGCAAACACAGCAGGCATAATGTGTCCTGATTAAAAAACATACAGAAAAGGACAGGTGCCTGTGTCAGATGTCCATGGCAGCAGAGGATCTTCCAGAAGAAGGAGGCAGCAGAACCTTATGCTCACACTGCAGTACAGGAGCAGAAAACTACCGGGAAGCTCTGGGTTCCTCTCGGGAAGGCAAAACTGCACAGAGATGCACCAGCTGGGTTTGGCAGTGCCCTCCCACCCTCAGATTTCCTGCACACAGCTTCACGCCGCTCCCCTTCACCCTGTCCTACCTCAGAGACCCAAGGAGCA